AGAAATTCCGTCTAGGATGAGTATCCTAGACGGAATTTCTGCAGAGGATACATTTTAGACGGAATTTTCGCAGAGGATACATTTTAGACGAAATTTCCATCTAGGATTATCCTAGACGGTTGTCTTTTCTATCTAAAATATTCTAGACGGTATTTTATTCCGTCTAGGAAGCATTTCCATCTAGGATGGATTTTCTAGACGGAATTCCAGCTAGAATGACGCATTCTCAACGGAACTTTACTAGACCAACATTCTAGACGAAATTCCGTCTAGAATAATCAATTTAGATGAAAATCTGGCTATTCTAGATGATAAATTCCTTCTAGAATAATCAATTTAGACGAAAATCTGGCTATTCTAGACGATAAATTCCTTCTAGAATAGCCAGTTTTTTACCAGTGTACATATTCTGCATATAGTTTATTTTAAGTAACACTTTGTATTTAGGTAAGATATTATTTGTAACCTTTTTTGGGCGTTTCTCAACTATTGGCCCAAGCATGTTGTACTATATTTATTTTCACCGGTGAATAGAATTGTGGGGGCATTCACCTAATTTACACAATCTCCAAACCTGAATTGACAATTGTTGTATGTGCCCTCTCTGATACTGCAATCTTCTACGATCATCTATCTCTAAAGATCATTATACTAATACGAAGATTATATGAAAATACTAAATAAGAAAGAATAATTTAAGAGTGTTAGCTACTGTAAAACAATTCTGAAAAGTACGCATGTCATACTGAGAGGTGGGTGTGGACCAGGCCCGTTCAGGCCCATGAATCGGCCCGTTGGGTTCAAGGCCGACCCGTGACTGACCCGAGCCCAAGCTTGTCAGAGTGGGTCGTGTCTGCCTCTCTGATCCCGGGTATAGGATGGAACCCAACCCGGGCCATGACCCTCCAAGAGGCGGGTCGTGCAGGAACCACGGCCCATGTGTTGTCTTTTTTTTATTTATTTAATGTTTTCTATTTAAAATATATTATACTTGTATTTATATTTATAAAATTATATTTAATTTATTTTTTCTATTTCAAACTCTTGATTTGATATTATGTGTGTGTTGCGCAAAGATAAACCTCACATAGAGAAACATCACAAACATACATATATACATGGTTCGAACTCTAGAGAAAGATCTACGTCCACGTGAAGTTAATAAATTTCATCTAGTTTAAATTTAATTAAAAAATACAAGAGAAAAAATATGTTAATTGTAAATGTTAAAAAATTTAAACACCATAGGCTTGGCTGAGCTTCATTTTCGTCCGGAGCCTCGCTCAAAACTCAGCCCGGCCTACGACGCACGTCCAGTGCGGGCCGGATTGGGCCCGACCCAGCGTGGGCCGGGCCAGGTTTTCGACGGGAACCGGGCTAGGCCAGTTGGGCCCGACAATTCAAACAGGCTCACGCCCCCATCCCGGTACTCATGCCATAATTACAATCTAAGAACGGACAAATGTTAGCGACCCGTAACTGTGGAATTAAGTGGCGTGGTCCCTTAATTATGAGCTGATATACTTATCTCATTGGATAAGCGCAGCTGTCACGGAGGAAGGACAACGTTTACAATTCGAACCCAGTACTGTTTGTCATCAAGGCATCCATATCTTCTCCCCATCAACAAAGAAACTCTATCTTCTTTGTACCAGTAGCTCGTTTTTTGTCTTTATAAAATGGTCTTCTTCTGATCAAACAAGTCATTTTCTTGACTTGTTGCTACGTCGTCAATGGTTCGCCGATTCGCTTCATGCGTTTATCGGCATCTGATAGTCTTTCTTGACTCGGATAATGACGTTCATCGTCTTCTCTCCGTCTCGAATTGTGTTCGGCGACCTATAGGTAATTTTTGACGCCTATAACGGTAAGTTAATAAATTTCATCTAGTTTTAATTTTATTTAAAAAATACAAGAGAAAATTTTTTGTTAATTGTAAATGTTAAAAAAATTAGACACCATGGGTTGAGCTGAGCTTCATTTCCGTCCGGAGCCTCGCTCAAAACTCAGCCCGACCTACGACGCACGTCCAGTGCGGGCCGGATTAGGCCCGACCCAGCGTGGGCCGGGCCAGGTTTTCGACGGGAACCGAGCTAGGCCAGTTAGGCCCGGCAATTCGAACCAGCTCACGCCCCCATCCCGGTACTCATGCTATAATTACAATCTAAGAGCGGGCAAATGTTAGCGACCCGTAACCGTGAAATTAAGTGGCGGGGTCCCTTAATTATGAGCTGATATACTTATCTCATTGGATAAGCGCAGCTGTCACGGAGGCATGACAACGTTTACAATTCGAACCCCAGTACTGTTTGTCATCAAGGCATCCCTATCTTCTCCCCCTCAACAAAGAAACCCTATCTTCTTTGTACCAGTAGCTCCTTTTTGTCTTTATAAAATGGTCTTCTTCTGATCAAACAAGTCATTTTCTTGACTTGTTGCTACGTCCTCAATGGTTTGCCGATTCGCTTCATGCGTTTATCGGCATCTGATAGTCTTCCTTGACTCGGATAATGACGTTCATCGTCTTCTCTCCGTCTCGAATTGTGTTCGGCGACCTATAGGCAATTTTTGACGCCTATAACGGTAAGTTAAAAAATTTCATCTAGGTTTAATTTAATTTAAAAAATACAAGAGAAAAAATATGTTAATTGTAAATGTTAAAAAAACTAGACACCATGGGTTGAGCTGAGCTTCATTTCCGTCCGGAGCCTCGCTCAAAACTCAGCCCGAACTACGACGCACGTCCAGTGCGGGCCGGATTGGGCCCGACCCAGCGTGGGCCGGGCCAGGTTTTCGACAGGAACCGAACTAGGCCAGTTGGGCCCGACAATTCGAACCGGCTCACGCCCCCATCCCGGTACTCATGCCATAATTACAATCTAAGAGCGGGCAAATGTTAGCGACCCGTAACCGTGGAATTAAGTGGCGGGGTCCCTTAATTATGAGCTGATATACTTATCTCATTGGATAAGCGTAGCTGTCACTGAGGAAGGACAACTTTTACAATTCGAACCCCGGTACTGTTTGTCATCAAGGCATCCCTATCTTCTTCCCCTCAACAAAGAAACCCTATCTTCTTTGTACCAGTAGCTCCTTTTTTTTCTTTATAAAAATGGTCTTTCAAACAAGTCATTTTCTTGACTTGTTGCTACGTCGTCAATGGTTCGCCGATTCGCTTCATGCGTTTATCGGCATCTGATAGTCTTCATTGACTCGGATAATGACGTTCATCGTCTTCTCTCCGTCTCGAATTTTGTTCGGCGACCTATAGGTAATTTTTGACGCCTATAACGATAAGTTAATAAATTTCATCTGGTTTTAATTTAATTTAAAAAATACAAGAGAAAAAAATATGTTAATTGTAAATGTTAAAAAAATTAGACACCATGGGTTGAGCTGAGCTTCATTTCCGTCCGGAGCCTCGCTCAAAACTCAGCCCGACCTACGACGCACGTCCAGTGCGAGCCGGATTGGACCCGACCCAGCGTGGGCCGGGCCAGGTTTTCGACGGGAACCGAGCTAGGCCAGTTGGGCCCGGCAATTCGAATCGGCTCACGCCCCCATCCCGGTACTCATGCTATAATTACAATCTAAGAGCGGGCAAATGTTAGCGACCCGTAACCGTGAAATTAAGTGGCGGGGTCCCTTAATTATGAGCTGATATACTTATCTCATTGGATAAGCGCAGCTGTCACGGAGGAAGGACAACGTTTACAATTCGAACCCCGGTACTGTTTGTCATCAAGGCATCCCTATCTTCTCCCCCTCAACAAAGAAACCCTATCTTCTTTGTACCAGTAGCTCCTTTTTTTGTCTTTATAAAATGGTCTTCTTCTGATCAAACAAGTCATTTTCTTATGCGAGTAGTTTTTTTTCTTTTCTTAAACCATCTACTTTCTCCCCTCTCCTCTCGTTTTCTCTGTACTTGTGTGCAAAGAGTAAATGTTTTGTTAAATGTTATAAGATGAACGTTTTTCTTTCATTAACGGCAACATCATAGGTTGGTGGGAATTCTTTTCTTAGAGATAAGACATTTTATGAGGTAAACAATCTCCTCTCTCCCTCTCTCTGTACATATTATTTTTCCTTTTTTTCTATTTTTCCTTTTGAGTTTTCTTCGTAGACCTGGTCAAAGAAATGTTCAATGTTCACGGTCAGGGGAGGGAAAAAAAAAAAAATCTAGGCGGAATCTCTGTTTAACTTCCCCCAACAACCATCTCTTCACTTGTATGAGCTAATTTTTTTATATCCCATCATTACGTAATAGAAACATAATTCATTATCTTTTCTTCTAGTTCTTTTTAAATAGATTTAAAAAAAAATTCTCTATAAATGTTGAATGAGATTCCATGTCATTTGTGAGCCAACTCACCACAATAAAAATCAAACAGCTGATCAAGGAGTTTGATATGAGCAAGCTACCACTCCTAAGGAAAGCAGTGAATAAAACACGGAGTGATGAAGGAAACTATGTACACAGGATAAGATAAGAAAGGAGTTTAAAGGATGGGATTTTTGGGGATAATGCGAAAAGCTCCCAACTTTGGAAAACGAGGGATGTGGGTTTTGGAGAACAGTAGGATATCGGTACACGTGTCCTAACTCCATTGCTCCATCTGTCTCTTTGTCTTTTTCCTCTCCTTTCTTCCTTTCTTGAGAATGAGTGAGACAGAGTGAGAGAAAGTAAAGGGATTATCTCTCTCGCTCTCTCGCTCTCGCTCTCATGTAACAAGTTGAGAGAGTTGCTGAAGTCTTTTAAATTGTATTGTTGATTGTGATGAAATGGGAGTATTTTGATAAAAGAGGGGGAGAGGGTGGTGGGATGCACGTGTGTGCAGCTGGAGGGTGAGTCCAAAGCTCCCCTGGCTATTAGTTTTGATTAGTTTAATAATTAATTGATTAAATAAAAAGGATTTTTTGATGACAGCCCACCTTCGATTTTGCTTTTGTTTTGGTTCTCACTGCCGCCCATCTTTTCTCTGCTCTTCTTTCTTGTGAGTCTCTCTCTCTCTTCTTTCTTTTTTCTTTTTTTTTTTTCGAATTTTTTAATGGAGGAATGTGAAAGATCAGATTTTGGGATCTGGGTTTGCTTTATTTTGATGGAATTTGATGGTTAAGATATGGGTTTTTGTTCTTGCGCCTTAATTATTGTCTTATTATTCTTGTTTTTTTTTATTACTTGAGTTGATGATGAATGAGAAAAGATATGATCGTTTTGGGAACTGGGGTTTGTTTAATTATTGAAATTGAAAGGTGCTTTCCCCCCCTAAATTCGGGTGGCATCAGTTATGTATAGCAAGGAATTGTATTTTTTTTAGAGATAATTGTGGTGAATTTACGGATTATTAGAAATAGATATTTCAGCTATCTTTCGTTTATTTTTTATATTTCAGGAAATATTGCATTGTTCTTCTTTCATGATTTTGGTTTTGCCCTGATATTTTCTATTTTCCTTGAGAGAAGTCCCAATTGCATGTCATCAGGATGTAAATTAACTATAAAATGATTACTTTTCTATTTTGATTTTTGTTCCAAACATTATTACAGTTTAACCGACATTCGGCCGAAAAAATTGATTATTTGTTTTCCAATTGCAGAAATATAAATGTTTGATCTTCTGCATTGTGGGATGAAAAACCGATGAACATTTTCTATTTACCATAACACACTTGAATAATTTGATTTTATGTCACTAATGTTTTTCGATCCCTTTGCTTTAACAATGCAGACATTTTCTGTTTTCTGTTATCATGTTTTGATGTTGTCGCATAAGGCCATAAGGTGGGGAAAAAAAGAAAGAAAAGAAAAGAAAAGATGCATACCCTTTTCCATTTTCTTGTGATTGTGGTTTCCGTTGAAGCTCTGACTGCAGAGATTCATCCTGAGCTTTTTCTAAAGAAGAAAAAGTTTGCTGTGAGAATCTTTAGAGTAGGAGAGATTGTTGGACTTTCTCTTGCCTACTTTTCTCACTGAGGTTAGTTAAGATGGTTTTGGGACCCATGTTCATTCTATTTCTGAGGATGAGGTTGTAGGTTGTTGGGCTAGGAACATTTCCTTTTATGAAACAAAAGTTTTGGTATTTCTTTATTGCCTTAAAATTTCAATTTCATCTTATTGTTTGGTGACAATATTTCTTTAAAGTGAGGAATACAAATGTTTCCCGTCTCTCTATCATTATATGTTTCTTGGGTACTACAACTTCTGAGTGTTTTTCTTTCAACTGAATGATACCCTCCTCCTAATCTCATTAGATAATTGCTTGTTTGACATGTGAAGCTACCTCAATATTTATTAGGGTTTGGTGGTTCAGCTTCCCTTCATGTCTGATGGAGAAATATAACTATCAGTTAGCTTCAACTCTGTTTTGCTTTTTGGCCCGTCACATTTCATTAAGAGATTATGTTGTCTTGCAGTTTGTTCTTTGCTGTAGCTTGAAGTTGAGGTTATCTTTAGTTGCTATGTTGGTCTTTGTTTGTGTAAAAAGCTGGTTTTGTTGTATTATGACTTCGGCTACCTCTAATTCATGAACATGGCTATAGGCTACAGATACTTCAAACTGTTATCTTGTCAAATGACAACTTTATTTACCAGAAACTCAAACCCATTCTTCGTTATTTCGACTTACTCAATGCTTCTATGAGTTCAAGTGCTTGCCCTCTTTCCTTTTGTTAATTTGAAAATTGTTTGTTGTCTTTTACTTTACTTTACTTTTCTTTTTTTTGTTGCTTTTTTTTTCATTTTATTATTGTTTTTTATTCATCAGGCAGGTCTAGCACTTATTGAGGATTAGAAGTATGTAGTAAGATTAAGTTTCACTGGTGAACTCGTCTTATTCTTCTTTTATCATTTTAGTGTCTCAAATGTTAGGATAGAAATCTTTATCATGCGCTAATTAAATTTCTTCCTTCCTGTTTTGAGTTAAGAGGCCAGGGTTATTCTCACATAATGAGTTACCTTAAGAGAGATAATAGATAAAATTATATGTTGACTTAATTTTCTCACTCTTATATATGTAGGAACTATTGGCTAGTAGACTAGTGATCTGCAGACATGGCTTCTTTAAATTCCGGCGATCTCGGAAGCAGAAATGAATCTCGAGTTTTCGAAAGTTTGGATGAGTTAGCCACTGACTTAGCAGAGTATATATCACAGTTGTCTGAGATTTCAGTCAAGGAAAGAGGAGTTTTTACTATTGCTTTAACTGGAGGGCCACTCATCAGCTTGTTGGGGTATGTCATCATTTTTTTATTATTATTTTCTTATGTTTTACTACTCATTTGTCAAATTGAAAGGCAGTGTTTGCTGCATAGAAGAAATCGAAAGAAGAGGAGAAATGAAGAAAACGGTTTCTTCTCTTCTCCTTCATTTTTATACAATCAAGCTAGAAAACTTTTCTGTTTCTTTAACATACTCTTTACCGAATATATTCCTTCAAGAAATTATAACTTATTCCCTGAATTTTCTTTCTTTAATGGTGACAATACGAGGAAAAGTGATTTCTCGACTATTTCCATTGATTGCATGTTCACCATCACCCTTTTGAAACAAGAATTGTCTAACAGCAGTTACTGGATATGCAAAAGCAGGAAACTTTGTGAAGCTCCTTACAACAAGACTGTGGATTGGACAAAATGGTATGTTTTTTGGGCTGATGAGCGTGCAGTTGCAAAGAATCATGTTGATAGTAACTACAAGCTGACAAAGGATGAATTTCTTTCAAAGGTATAGAATGAATATGACCTTTTTTGGTTGCTCGGTAATGAATTCAAGGTGCTCTACCTCTCTAATTGGCTTTTATATTATTAAGCTTGAATATGATTTCGTGAAAGTGGAAGAAAAAGGAGACAGTAAGGAGACACAAAACATTTCTTTGTAGATTATTTTCATGTCCACTATAGTCTATATTATTTTAGGTTCTAAATGGATATAACTACCTACCAAAGTTTATGGATACCACCTTTCTTTTAAGCTCTCTGGTTCTAGCTATTTGTGTGAGTTCTGCTTTCATATTTTTTCAAGATGCTTATGGAAGTGTTTAAGAAGCCTGGGAGAAACTGCTTTCTTAACTATAGCACAACTTTAGCTTTTGAGGTGCTTAGATTTTTTATGGGGGATATGTTAAATGCATGTGTAGTGAGACTAGGGACGATAAGGCAGAGAACAACCTATTGATGATGTAGGCATATGGGTTGGATGAATTGAGAAGAAGCTGACTGAAAGTTGAATAAGATAGAGCTCTCTTTTTTGGTGCACATGCACACAAGAACACACACTTTAGGGATACATATGGATGTGTGTGTATCCTTTCGTGTGTGTGTTTTTTTGTGTTAGTTTGTTTATCTGTTTTTTGTTCGGGGGGTTTTGCAGGGCCTGTCGGTGTGTCGATGGGGGTGTTTGGGAGGTTTTGGGGTGGGGCCTTGGAGATTGGGGATTTCAAGGTTCATGGACAAGAAGGAAGTTATAGATTAATCATGTCATGACAAAATTTCTCCTTAACTCAGAAAGGTTTATGCAAGTTTCAAAGCTGGAGATGTGCTTGATTGCCTGAATCTTATGCTCTAGTGTCATATGCAGTATTATTGTTTATTGAATTCATTTGGAGAACATGAATTCCACTATACCTAAACCATAGTTACAGGATTCAGACTTTAGTTGTCAATGTGATTTGATAGCTTAAGTTTTCAAAACTCAGCTTCTTTAAAATTTTGTTTTGGAAAACTTGGAATTCAATTGAGTATGTAACATAAAGCATAGATGTAGAACTTGGGCCAATAAACTCAAATAGCCAGAATCAGGTATATAGTAGCCAAATGCGTCTGTAGAAGATGTGATACAGATGGTCTTCATCTTCAGGGAGATCTAGGATTGCAACGTCTCTGAGATCCATTATTGTGCACATAACGTTCTATAAATTTCGGAGACTTCAATTAAAGCTTAACAACAAACGAAAGCTGCAAATCGACAATCAATAGATAATTGTGGTAAAGCAATAACTGCTGATGTGCACTAGTCATAAAAAAAGAAATGAATAATTTTGTTTTTAAATTTTTCCCGCTAGATCTGTACTGACATCAGATTCTGGTTCCTAAATCTTGAAGTTGCTATAGTGTGTCACCAAAAATTCAATACACACTGTTACCTGTGATAGTCCAACCCTTTGTGTCCATGTGGGTCAAAAGCCTATCACTGTCTGGAACTTTTTTCAGGCATAAACATGTGCACACTTATTTACTTAAGGAACAACATAAGATGAATTTTTATGTCCTTCTGGGTATAACCTTCAACATAATAATTGTTGTTTTCTAAAATTTTTCTGTATCCAACCAAAGAACGCGCAAATGTGTGTGCCTATGCAGAGATAACTCTATTTAATTAAAAAAATTATAGGCACACGAATCATATTTGCATTATGGAT